AACCTAGGGAATAAAGAGGTGGGCAGCAGGGTTGAAGCATGGCAGGGAGAGCCTTGAAGATGAGCCCTGTCCTGGAAGGCCTGTCACGTCACAGACTCCACGACATGGAGATGACCTACATGCTAATGACTGAACATATTGCTAGCTCAGTAGGCATTTCCCAGGAAAGAGTACATTCCATTATCACACAAACTTTGGCAACAAAGAAAGTATCAGCTCGTTGGGTTCCAAAGCTTCTGACATATAATAAAAAATGCACCAGGCAAAACACATCTTTTGATAATCTAGCTCTGAAGTGGCCAGAAAAAGTTCTTGCAATGGATGCAATCAGGGTTCACCTCTTCCAGCCTGAACCCAAATACCAATCAAAGCAATGGAAGCATTTGACATCGCCACCACCAAAGAAGGCAAAGACTGACCCATCATATGGAAAGGTTGTGGCCTCTGTGTCCTGGGATGCCAAGGGTGTCATCATAGTGGACTATTTCCTAAAGGCCAAACAACAAACGGAGCATATCATGCTGCACATCGGAGGCAATTATGGGATGAAATTAAGACTAAGAGACGTGCACAAGTCCGTCATTGGATATCATCCACAAATGTGTGCATTTGAACTCCTTCAGCACCCACCTTATTCCTGATCAGGCTCTGTCAGACTTTTATCTGTTCTTAAATATGAAGAAAGCTCTAGCCAGAACCCATTTTGACACAAACAAAGACATCATAGCAGCTGTGGAGAACTTTTCAGACATCCAATCGAAGGTCTTTTACCAAACTGGCATAAGATCCTCACACATCTTTGGCAAAAGTGGATCAATGAGGAAGGGGATTAGGTTGAAAACTAAATCACTGTAATGTGTTTTGGTCAAGTCTTTCTATGTGAGGCTCATGACGTATCAATGATGGTATGAAGGGGAGATACCTCTTCATTGGTAATATTTTCATACAACTTATCACAGTGAAACTGATGTATAGGGCATCAATGAATGAAGACCAGTTCTAACTTGGATCTTCATGGGTGATGAGGATATAAGTATCATTCTACTCTTAGCAGAACATAAACATTGGTTCCTGTCTCCCAGACTATATATACTTCTAGTGAAACGAGCCGAGCTCCTCCTTGCAGTGATAATCATGTTTATCATACAATGGGTAGGTTTCTCGGCAGGATAAAGCCAATGGATAAAAACGATATCCGTTGGGGTCATATGCGGATAGAGATGCAAATATCAAAGGTCAAGTAGGGACTACTTTCAGTGTTTATAAACAAACATGGCGTGGTCCTTGTCATTCGGCGATCGAGTCAGAATTAACCATCGGGAATCTGGATAAACTACAGGGATAATTGCTATCATTATCAAAAGAACAGTCTTATATACTGAAAATCAGTGTCGAATTGTGACGTAGCTAAGGCATTTTATAAGTTTTGGCAACTTTGGAGATATAAATTTCGAAACCTTTTTGCGAGGGCACTAGGCCTAGCCAAGGGGGATCAGTAGCCATATCTGTGCTTGTAGACCTCTGCGGCTTGAAACCTTTTTCACAAATTAAAATAGTTGGATTTGGACGAAATATGTTTCAATTGTTACCTTGTTTTGTTTTGTCGCTGTGTGTACATCTGATTGCACTTCTTAACATTATGACAGGACAGGCCGACTGTTAACAACATCTGAACGTGGCTGTGATGTCTCAGACAAGTGTTAGAGTAGCTTCCCTTTGACAAAGGGCAGTTACTCTAGCGGGCAGACCGATGGATTCCCGCGAAATGCAAGTGAAAAACAATTGTTGTTTTGCGTATATGTTGCCTCGCCACTGTATAAGAAACAGATTTCAGTTGGAACTATATTGGCTACTGTCACTGTCCGACTGACACATCACTTACCCTGTGACGTAATAAATATTAATGCGCGCATTCCAGGAAAACTTGCAATGTTTAGGTAAAGTTTGTGAGAGAGGGAAAGCGATTTTCACAGAATTAAAGAATGACATTATATGATAAAGAGGTTATCACGCTTGTGTGTTTGGGGATGGTAAATATCCTGTATTAGAAATAGGCACTATTTATTTAGCTCGCCAAGGCTCGCTAAATACAATGTTTATTCCTAATGCAGGATATTTACCATCCCCCAACACACTCGCGTGATAACCTCTATATACTCTGTCATGGTCATTTTGCATGTTTCAGTCTTCAAATGTACAGAGTAGAGTCTATGTAGCTATGTGGGCACTATTGTGGTACGAGCAATTCTAGCACAGTTCTATTCTAAACTGACATGTTACTCTTAATGAAACAGTTGTACTTACTGGTAGTAGGATAGTTTGTTCTGCAAACTTTGTAATCAAGTGTCTGGATTCAATCAATCTGAATTAGATTTCATCATGAATGAGGCTTTTTCCTGATTACTAAGAAATACTTATGTGTATTTGTGTTTGGAGCTACATGAAAATATGAAGTTCACAGAAACAATTCAGATTTAGATGATAAACCAAATTTCCAATTTCTTAATGTTGCTCTTATTATATAGTAAGACTATTTTCATTCTTCTAAAAGTTTTTTTTAAATAGAACAATGAGATTTAGAATATATTTGCATGATTTACTACTTGTTATGTCCACATCTACATTGACATAAGCACACACCATTATCACCAGAAGACTCATTCATTAACCTAAACAACTCCAGAAATTCTTGTACTTTTTTAGCATTTGTCTATCTTGTTTTCCAAAAACATGTTTACTACATGTATGAAGTGGTACTACAGCAGCTGAAGTAAACCCTGCTCTGAATGTGAAGTGCCTTCACAAACACGTATACTACATGTATGAAGCGGTACTACAGCAGCTGAAGTACATCCAGTTCTGAATGTGAAGTGCCTCCACAAACACATATACTACATGTATGAAGTGGTACTACAACAGCTGAAGTACATCCAGATCTGAATGTGAAGTGCCTCCACAAACACGTATACTACATGTATGAAGTGGTACTACAGCAGCTGAAGTACATCCAGCTCTGAATGTGAAGTGCCTCCACAAACACGTATACTACATGTATGAAGTGGTACTACAGCAGCTGAAGTACATCCAGATCTGAATGTGAAGTGCCTCCACAAACACGTATACTACATGTATGAAGTGGTACTACAACAGCTGAAGTACATCCAGATCTGAATGTGAAGTGCCTCCACAAACACGTATACTACATGTATGAAGTGGTACTACAGCAGCTGATGTACATCCAGCTCTGAATGTGAAGTGCCTCCACAAACATGTATACTACATGTATGAAGTGGTACTACAGCAGCTGAAGTACATCCAGCTCTGAATGTGAAGTGCCTCCACAAACACGTATACTACATGTATGAAGTGGTACTACAGCAGCTGAAGTACATCCAGCTCTGAATGTGAAGTGCCTCCACAAACACGTATACTACATGTATGAAGTGGTACTACAGCAGCTGAAGTACACCAACTTAACATGTACATGTGTTACAACTAGTGGTAAAAGGATTAACTGATAACATGTTGATTCATCATTGTGGATTTGTTGAATACATGGAGATCAGGTCATGTGTGCATTCCTAGTTGACTGATCAAATTTGACCCCTATCTGAATTACTTGAGACAAACAGCTAATGTGATCAGAGATGCTAGTTGAGAAGCATAATATACAGCAAAACAAGTCTCATAGGTTAGGATTATTAGATTATTCTGAGGCAATTGACAAACGACAATACTCGATATTTGTATGGCTGTAGAATTATATGATATTAACGCAGAGAGTTGCATTTGTTGTGACATCATGCATCTGAAAGATTCCATTTGGAGTAAAGTTCCTTGGATTTACAAGAGTCATAAACTGGCAGTTACGGCAATGTCATTCATTTGAAATAGAAGTTGCAACCAGTAAAGATAGAATTGGAAAGAAATTGATGCTGAAATTGGATTAATATGAACATTCTGTGAACTTTGCGTGTGCATTTGAGCCATACTAAGGATAGATCAGTTGCTGATGACGATGATTACCCCTTGAGGCGGCAGTATTGTATGTGTGTGTGTGTGGATCTTACTGATTTCTTTCAGAAAGTAGAGCATTATATATTTGAAAACTTAGATTATGGCATTAGTTTTGGTGGAATGTGCACAATCTAAAAGAAATTGTGGTATGATGATACCTCCCTATTTGACATTATTTTTAGACATTGAGGAATTCCCCTTAAGTAGTTAGTTAATAACATAATCACACAGCAAGCTGAGGTTCATCGGGAAACAACTGACAGTTAGCTTGGTAGTGTTCATCTAGCCGAGGTCACCCGCTACTTTCAACACAATGAGATGATGTTAGTCCAGTCAGTCAAATATATTGTTAAGAATAAGAAAATATTGGTTGACAGATCAGCACTGGCTGGCTACACCTATTCAACAGATAGCAGAGAAATGCACTCAAGCTTATAGAATCAACTTAATTCTAGATATTCAACCGATCTGGGTGTAACCATCTATGGCTATTATTGTGGTAACCCACAGTAGCAATACAATAAACTAAATTCCACTGTGTGAAAGGACAATACTGGGTACAGTCTTTCTCTAAGTGATCCGATTCTGTGATTGAAAACACCTTCACCACCTCCTTTCATGCATGGTACACACTCTGTTCCTATTGTATATATGTACCACTGTTTAACATCAAGCAAAGAGGAGCCTTGTTCTAGAAGCTAGCAGAGTTAGGAGAAATTGTTAGTAATAGAGAAGGAAAAAACATAAACTGGTTTTTTTTCGAATCTAGAATAAACTCAATTTTTCTCAACATCAGTGAAATATGTTTCAGAAGTGTAATGTTTAGCCATGTTTTCATATACCAACAAGTCTTAAGACAATCAACACCAAAACAAGAAATCAATTACATCTGTCCAGTTTTCTCTCTCCCAAGTGAAAGTAATGAGATTAATCACATGGAAAAGAAAGGGCTCATGCAAAAGAATGGTGCAGAAAATATTCACCGCTTCTAAGGGTAACCTAGGCTGCTTGTTTTTGTCCTGGAATAAAGCAGAACAGTAAGTGTACAAGGACGATGCCAGGACTGTCACATGACCTTGAACATGTCAACATACTGGCGAGGTGCTTCACACAGCGTCATGGCTCCACTGGCTCCAGCCATGCTGCTGCTGCTGGCACTGATGAAGCTGGACATGCTTTCAGTCAGGTAATACATGCCACAGCAATTATCCAAGGAATGTACCAGTCATTCTTCAGCTTCTTTTTGTAGTTGCTCCATGAATAAATACATCTGGGCCATTGCTACTGCTGCCCAGCTGATACTTTGTCCAGGTCACCATCACGCAATGCCATGAGTACTGTACACATACTCATTGTACACATTTGTTTCATTAGTTCATGTTAATTTCAATATAGACAATTTAGATGTTGTAGACATACTCTTCATACAATTACCAAAAATAGCTAATTTACAGCACAAAATAGAAAACAATGCTAAGGGCACTGTAGCTTATCTGGACATGTAGTTAACAGACTAAAATTTAACAAAGACAAATACTTATATAAAGTTACTGTCAGCATTGATATTGAAATCCTTTCTGGATATATGGATGCCTAAAACCTGACACTCCAATCTGTTGATTTGAACACTACATGATGTGGTCAGATGGAGAAGCATGAATGCCAAACTTCATCTTCCTCAGTCATTTTGAGAAAAAATTAGGAGCAGGGTCAAAATGCAATGGTGAAAAAAGGTCAAAAGTAAGAATACTGTAAAAAAACGAACATATATGTTGGGTTCCACAACTAAGTATGAACCACATAATGCTGAGTAAAAACCATGAGTAAGTTTTTCAATATAGCTGCCCTCTGTGGCTAGAATGAACATTGGATTTGAACCTCTGGAAGAAAGGGGTGTCATTATTGTGGGAACATGCAAGTGTGATTGGTCCAGTGGTTTCTGAGAAGATGGATGCTGGACAAACAGCCCATGACATTAGCTCACTTGACTTTCAGTGTTATTTCTGACCGATATCTAACATTGCTATTGACCAGTCTCCTCATGTCTCCTTGAAGTCAACATGGTGACAAGTACAAAGCCATTCCATAAAGTTATTGTTCATAACACAGTACTAAGTCATATGTAAGTCACTGGTATGTAACCTACTATGTTCATGTCTACAAATTAAAAAAACCCTGACAGGAATGTAAATATTAATAAGTTAGATTAGACCTTCATTGTTTCCAAGTAAGTGCAGGTTTTATCTGACAGAGAACACTTCATCATATAATCTCTACTGGTCAAGGATGAAGAAGCCTCACTGTGTAGTAAATTACTAAAATCAATATCTGCAAAAAATCATTTTGTTTCCATCATACCAAAAACGTTTCAGTTGATAGGTAAAGATAGTATGCAAGTACTGCAATTGTGATAGATCATGACCCTCGATATTCAAATAAATAAGCAGCGAAAGATTGACCTCTAATAGCATAGTACTGAAATAGGACAATATTTAAAAAAATTATTTCTTTTTCAAAATAGCTACTGCTGGTGTAAGAGTATTAGTGGCCCTTTGTCAGTGTCTGTTCAGGGGTGGATGAACTCAGTATATGGATGGTGTTGAGGGGTGCATGTAGCCAGCATATGGGTGGTGTTCAGGGGTGCATGTAGTCAGTATATGGGTGATGTTGAGGGGTGCATGTAGCCATTATATGGGTGGTGTTCAGGGGTGCATGTAGTCAGTATATGGGTGATGTTGAGGGGTGCATGTAGCCAGTATATGGGTGGTGTTCAGGGGTGCATGTAGCCAGTATACGGGTGATGTTCAGGGGTGGATGTAGCCAGTATATCGGTGGGGTTGAGGTGTGCATGTAGGCAGTATATGGGTGGTGTTGAGGGGTGCATGTAGCCAGTATATGGGTTGTGTTCTGGGGTGCATGTAGCCAGTATATGGGTGATGTTCAGGGGTGGATGTAGCCAGTATATCGGTGGGGTTGAGGTGTGCATGTAGGCAGTATATGGGTGGTGTTGAGGGGTGCATGTAGCCAGTATATGGGTGGTGTTCAGGGGTGCATGTAGCCAGTATATGGGTGATGTTCAGGGGTGGATGTAGCCAGTATATTGGTGGGGTTGAGGTGTGCATGTAGGCAGTATATGGGTGGTGTTGATGGGTGCATGTAGCCAGTATATGGGTTGTGTTCTGGGGTGCATGTAGCCAGTATATGGGTGGTGTTGATGGGTGCATGGACTCAGTATATGGGTGGTGTTGAGGGGTGCATGTAGCCAGTATATGGGTGGTGTTGAGGGGTGCATGTAGCCAGTATATAGGTGGTGTTAAGGGGTGGATGGACTCAGTATATGGGTGGTGTTGAGGGGTGCATGGGGACTCAGTATATGGGTGGTGTTGGGGGGTGCATGGACTTAGTGTATGGGTGGTGTTGAGGGGTGCATGTAGCAAGTATATGGGTGGTGTTGAGGGGTGGATGGACTCAGTATATGGGTGGTGTTGAGGGGTGCATGTAGCCAGTCTATGGGTGGTGTTGAGGGATGGATGGATTCAGTATATGGGTGGTGTTGTGGGGTGCATAGACTCTTTATATGGGTGGTGTTGAGAGGTGCATGTAGACAGTATATGGGTGGTGTTGAGGGGTGCATTGACTCAGTATGTGGATGGAGTTGAGGGGTGCATGGACTCAGTACATTGGTGGTGTTGTGGGGTGCATGGACTCTTTATATGGGTGGTTTTGAGGGGTGCATGTAGCCATTATATGGGTGGCGTTGAGGGGTGCATGAACTCAGTATATGGGTGGTGTTGAGGGGTGCATTGACTCTTTATATGGGTGGTGTTGAGGGGTGCATGTAGCCAGTATATGGGTGGTGTTGAGGGGTGCATGTAGCCAGTATATGGGTGGTGTTGTGGGGGGGGGTGCATGTAGCCATTATATGGGTGGCGTTGAGGGGTGCATGAACTCAGTATATGGTGGTGTTGAGGGGTGCATGTAGCCAGTATATGGGTGGTGTTGAGGGGTGCATATAGCCAGTATATGGATGGAGTTGAGGGGTGCATGGACTCTTTATATGGGTGGTTTTGAGGGGTGCATGTGGCCAGTATATGGGTGGTGTTGAGGGATGCATGGACTTAGTACATGGGTGGTGTTGGGGGGTGCATGTAGCCAGTATATGGGTGGTGTTGGGGGGGGGGGGGGGGGATGGGGGGTGGGTGCATGTAGCCATTATATGGGTGGCGTTGAGGGGTGCATGAACTCAGTATATGGGTGGTGTTGAGTGGTGCATGTAGCCAGTATATGGGTGGTGTTGAGGGGTGCATATAGCCAGTGTATGGATGGAGTTGAGGGGTGCATGGACTCAGTATATGGGTGGTGTTGAGGGGTGGATTGACTCAGTGTATGGGTTGTGTTGAGGGGTGGATGGACTAAGTATATGGGTGGTGTTAAGGGGTGCATGGACTCTTTATATGGGTGGTTTTGAGGGGTGCATGTGGCCAGTATATGGGTGGTGTTGAGGGATGCATGGACTTAGTACATGGGTGGTGTTGGGGGGTGCATGTAGCCAGTATATGGGTGGTGTTGTGGGGGGGGTGCATGTAGCCATTATATGGGTGGCGTTGAGGGGTGCATGAACTCAGTATATGGGTGGTGTTGAGGGGTGCATTGACTCTTTATATGGGTGGTGTTGAGGGGTGCATGTAGCCAGTATATGGGTGGTGTTGAGGGGTGCATTGACTCTTTATATGGGTGGTGTTGAGGGGTGCATATAGCCAGTGTATGGATGGAGTTGAGGGGTGCATGGACTCAGTATATGGGTGGTGTTGAGGGGTGGATTGACTCAGTGTATGGGTTGTGTTGAGGGGTGGATGGACTCAGTATATGGGTGGTGTTGAGGGGTGCATGTAGCCAGTATATTGGTGGTGTTGAGGGATGCATGTAGCCAGTATATGGGTGGTGTTGAGGGGTGCATGTAGCCAGTATATAGGTGGTGTTAAGGGGTGCATGTAGCCAGTATATTGGTGGTGTTGAGGGGTGCATGTAGCCAGTATATGGGTGGTGTTGAGGGGTGCATGTAGCCAGTATATAGGTGGTGTTAAGGGGTGGATGGACTCAATATATGGGTGGTGTTGAGATGTGCATGGGGACAGTATATGGGTGGTGTTGAGGGGTGCATTAACTCAGTATATGGGTGGTGCTGAGGGGTGCATGGACTCAGTATGTGGGTGGTGATGAGGGGTGCATGTAGCAAGTATATGGGTGGTGTTGAGGGGTGGATGGACTTAGTATATGGATGGTGTTGAGGGGTGCATGTAGCCAGTCTATGGGTGGTGTTGAGGGGTGGATGGATTCAGTATATGGGTGGTGTTGAGGGGTGCATGTAGTCAGTATATGGGTGGTGTTGAGGGGTGCATTAACTCAGTATATGGGTCGTGCTGAGGGGTGCATGGACTCAGTATGTGGGTGGAGTTGAGGGGTGCATGGACTCAGTATATGGGTGGTGTTGAGGGGTGGATTGACTCAGTGTATGGGTGGTGTTGAGGGGTGGATGGACTCAGTATATGAGTGGTGTTGAGGGGTGCATGTAGCCAGTATATTGGTGGTGTTGAGGGGTGCATGTAGCCAGTATATGGGTGGTGTTGAGGGGTGCATGTAGCCAGTATATAGGTGGTGTTAAGGGGTGCATGTAGCCAGTATATAGGTGGTGTTAAGGGGTGGATGGACTCAGTATATGGGTGGTGTTGAGGGGTGCATGGGGATAGTTTATGGGTGGTGTTGAGGGGTGCATGAACTCAGTATATGGGTCGTGCTGAGGGGTGCATGGACTCAGTATGTGGGTGGAGTTGAGGGGTGCATGTACTCAGTACATGGGTGGTGTTGTGGGGTGCATGGACTCTTTATATGGGTGGTTTTGATGGGTGCATGTGGCCAGTATATGGGTGGTGTTGAGGGGTGCATGTGGCCAGTATATGGGTGGTGTTGAGGGGTGCATTAACTCAGTATATGGGTGGTGTTGAGGGGTGCATGTAGACAG